GAAAAATCATAAGCACTGTGCGCAGGGGAAATGTTACAGCGTTTACCTCGAGTTCTTGACTATGTGCAATACACAGATGGGGAAGTGAAAGATAACAGAGGACGCCTGGAGGGCTTGTACATTACTCCTATTTAGTCCTACCAATTTTTGAAGTGTATTCCCATTTTTGCAGCCAAATTACTATAACACCTACTTTATATTTGTTACATGTTCTCAGTAACATGACATAACTTAAAAGAATTTTTATTAATTGCTGGTTACCTTTTTCGGTGCTTTTCACTTGCTTCAAAAGCATTCCATACTCTCCCCACTGTGTAATGTTTAGGAGGATGCTGCAGAGTAATGCTTTATTTATTACAGGTACTTACAGTGAGGAACAGAAGTATTTGAACCCCCTGCGATTTTGCAAGTTCTCCCACTTAGAAATCATGGAGGGTCTGAAATTCACATTGTAGGTGCATTCCCACTCTGAGAGACAGAATTTAACCATTAGCCGCCCGGCCAATGGCCGTTTGGCGGCTTCAGATGTGCCTCTTCATTCCGGGTGCACGCCATTTGGCGTGCTCCCGCACATGCGCCGTTTGCGGTAATGCAGAGCGGCGCAGCAGCGGGATCTGTCACGGGCCGTGCACCTCGGACACGGCCGATGACAGATCCGAGTACCGGCTCCCGTTGCTGGTACCATGTGACCTGCTGTGACCAATCACAGCAGGTCACATGACAGTTGTATACAATGGATGGCTTCATTCATAATGCCATCCATTGTATACTAGTGCCTAGCTGTGAATGGCACTAGTAATGACCAAATCACAGCTAAGCACAAAAAAAAAAAAAAAAAAAAAAAAAAAAAAGCTGAATGAATCGATTTCATTCAGGTAAATGCTTGCTTATAGCAAAGTAATTCTTTGCTATAAGCAAATTGTGTAAAAAAAAAAAAATACTGATCACTTCCCCAAAGTAGTACAGTGTTACTATGGTAACATTGTACTACTTTGGTCATAGTAAAATATGAAAAAAAAATCTTAAAAAAAATTAAAAAAAAATGTAATAAAAAATAATATATAATAAAAAAAAAAAAAAAATTAAAAAAAAAATATATATTTTTTTTTTTCATACTGTCACCAGTCAGTGTGTCCCTGTTAACCGCCATGCCAGTTATATGATGACGCTGTCCTGCACTGGTGACAGCATGTAAAAAAAAAAATTGTGAAAATAATTTTTTTAATTTTTTTTCATTTTCCGAAAAATTATGACATAAAAATACAACTTCAAAAAACTCCCTATGCCTCTTATGAAGTACATCGGACTGTCTACTCTGCAAAAAGGGGTCATTTGTGGGATATCTGTACTGTTCTGACATTCTTGGACCTCAAGAAATTAGATTGTCTGTCAGTACTTCAGGATTGATCAATATTCAGATCTATACCATAGTTTGTGAACTCTATAACTTTCCTACAAACTAAAAAATACATCCTAATTTGGGTTATTTTCACCAAAGACATGTAGCAGAATACATCTCGGCCTAAATTTATGAAGAACAATTATTTATTTGTAAACTTTTATAACAGAAACAAAGAAAAATGTGTTTTTTTTTTTCAAAATTTTTGGTCTTTTTTTGTTAATTTAGCAAAAAATAAAAACCCCAGCGGTGATTAAATACCACCAAAAGAAAGCTCTAGTTGTGTGAAGAAAATGATAAAATTTTAGTTTGGGTACAGTGTTGTATGACCACGCAATTGTCATTCAAAGTGTGAGAGCGCTGAAACCTGAAAAATGGCCTGGGCAGGAAGGTGTAAAATTGCCCGGTATTGAAATGGTTAAAAAAAAAAATTCAGGAAATCCCACTGTATGATTTGTAAAGAATGTATTTGTTTTGCACTGCTGAACAGAAGTATTTGAACACCTGAGAAGATCCGTGTTAATATTTGGTACAGAAGCCTTTGTTTGCAATTACAGAGGTCAGACGTTTCCTGTAGTTCCTGACCAGGTTTGCACTGCAACAGGGATTTTGGCCCCCTCCTCCACACAGATCTCCTCTAGATCTGTCAGGTTTCGGGCTGTCGCTGAGCAACACGGCGTTTCAGCTCCCTCCAAAGATGTTCTATTGGATTTAGGTCTGGAGACTGACTAGGCCACTCCAGAACCTTGATATGCTTCTTACGGAGCCACTCCTTGGTTCTCCTGGCTGTGTGCTTCGGGTCGTTGTCATGTTGGAAGACCCAGCCACGACCCATCTTCAATGCTCTGACTGAGGGAAGGAAGTTGTTGCTCAAAATCTCACAATAAATGGCCCCATTCATCCTCTTCTTAATACAGTGCAGTCATCCTGTCCCCTTCGCAGAAAAGCACCCCCAAAGCATGATGTTACCACCCCCATGCTTCACAGTAGGGATGGTGTTCTTGGGATGCAACTCATCCTTCTTTTTCCTCCAAACATGACGAGTGAAGTTTAGACCAAAAAGTTCTACTTTGGTCTCATCTGACCACATGACTTTCTCCCATGCCTCCTCTGGATCATCCAGATGGTCATTGGCAAACTTCAGACGGGCCTGGACATGTGATGACTTGAGCAGGGGAACCTTCCGTGCAATGCATGATTTGAAACCACGACGGCGTAGTGTTCTACAGACAGTGACCTTTGAAACTGTGGTCCCAGCTCTCTTCATGTCATTGACCAGCTCCTCCCTTGTAGTTCTGGGCTGATTCCTCACCTTTCTTATCATCAGTGATACCCCACGAGGTGAGATCTTGCATGGAGCCCCAGTCCGAGGGAGACTGACAGTCGTCTTTAGCCTCTTCCATTTTCTAACAATTGCTCCAACAGTTGATCTATTTTCACCAAGCTGCTTGGCAATTTCCCCGTAGCCCTTTCCAGCCTTGTGGAGGTCTGCAATTTTGTCTCTGGTGTCTTTTGACAGCTCTTTGGTCTTGCCCATGGTAGTAGTTGGTGTCTGACTGACTATGGGGTGGACAGGTGTTTTTAAAGAGCTCAGACAGGTGCTACTAAGTTAGATTAATGAGTGGAGAAGAGGTGGACTTTTTAAAGGCACAGTAACAGGTCTTTGAAAAGCCAGAATTCTTGCTGTTTCTCAGGTGTTCAAATACTTCTGTTCAGCAGTGCAAGACAAATAAATTCTTTAAAAATCATACAATGTGATTTCCTGAATTCTTTTTTTAATTCTGTCTCTCAGAGTGGGAATGCACCTACAATGTGAATTTCAGACCCCTCCATGATTTCTAAGTGGGAGAACTTGCAAATCGCAGGGTGTTCAAATACTTCTGTTCCTCACTGTATACAGCGCCATCAATTTACGCAGCGCTTTAGATATATATTGTACATTCAAATCAGTGCTTCCCTAACCCTCAAGGGGCGTACAAACTAAGGTCCCTAACTCACATTCATACATACACATAGTAGAGCTGATTTGGACAGGATCCAATTAGTCTACCAACATGTCGTTGGAGTGTGGGAGGAAGCTGGAGTACCTAGAGGAAACCCATTCAGACACACCTACATGGAAGAAAAATAAATTTGAAATATATTTTAAAAATATTCTTCCCACAGTTGATTAAAAAACCAGGGCTGCATTTTTGGCATCTTTTAAGTCTGCCTAGAGTTTAGTTTAAAGTACCGTATTTTTCGACATATATAAGACGCACTTTTTCTTCCCCAAAACTGGGGGGGAAAGTTGGTGCGTCTTATATGACGAATAGAGAGAGAATCCGGGAGGCGCGGCCACGGCCGTAGGAAAGGCCGCGGCTTTGGCCTATCTCTGGAGCTGTCGGCCATCTTAGTACACCCGGCGGTGCGCACTGACGTCATCACCCCCTCTGCTCGTGGATCCTACCATAGCGCGGATCTACAACAACAGGTGAGGAGCGGGGCAATGCTATGTTACTGGCTATTATTACTATGTTGGGGCAATGTTACTGGCTATTATTACTAATGTGGGGGCAATGTTACTGGCTATTATTACTAATGTGGGGGCAATGTTACTGGCTATTATTACTAATGTGGGGGCAATGTTACTGGCTATTATTACTAATGTGGGGGCAATGTTACTGGCTATTATTACTAATGTGGGGGCAATGTTGCACTGGAACAGTGATGGTGATGACGAGTGGGGGGCAATGGTGGACTTTACAGTGATGAGTGGGGGCAATGGTGGACATTACGTGATGAGTGGGGGCAATGGTGGACATTACGTTGATATAAAATATTTTACTATAGTATTGGGTTCAGAATCTTTTTTTTTTCTAGATTTTTCTCCTTTAAAATTGGGTGCGTCTTATATTCCGGAGCGTCTTATATGGCGAAAAATACGGTAAAGGAATGTTGTGGCAAACATCACCATTTTTTTTCCATAAAAGTTTTTTTTTTTTTCATTGTCACAGGTTTTCTTTGACTCTGTTTTGCTTCGGCACAATGGAGGATTCTACGATGACATATCTGAAGTCCACTGTCACTCCAGAGGAAGAGTATGGTTACTCACCTGAGATGTATGTTGACACTGAAGGAACATCGAACACGTATCATATCATTTCTATAGTAATCTATTCTGTGGCCTTTCTTCTGGGGACAACTGGAAATGGTCTGGTCATTTTTTTCACCTCCTTCAAGATGAAAAAGACGGTCAACGTCGTGTGGTTCCTTAATTTAGCCATAGCTGACTTTTATCTTCACGTTTTTCCTGCCGTTCAGCATTGCCTACACCGCTCTTGGTTTTCACTGGCCTTTAGGGAAATTCATGTGCAAGCTGAACAGCACTATTGTAGCAATCAATCTGTATGCCAGCATCTTCCTGCTCACCGTGATCAGCATCGATCGCTGTACATCAGTAATGTTCCCTGTTTGGTGCCAGAACCACCGAACCCCTAGAGTGGCCTCCTTTGCAGCCCTGGTAGTTTGGATCTTTGCATTCATTTTCAGTTTACCTACTTTTATATTCAGAGATACAACCATGTATGAGGGTCATGATGTTTGCTTTAACAGTTTTCATGAGGATCAAGTGGTTGCTTCGTCAATACATAAGGGCATGATCATAATACGACTGATCTTCAGTTTCATCATTCCATTCACTGTCATTATCTTGTGTTATGCAGTAATTATCTCCCGCATCCAAAGAAATCGCATGAAACACAACTGGCAAGCCATTTAAAATTATTTTAGTTGTTGTCATTTCATTTTTTATCTGCTGGTTTCCTTACCATGTCTTCTCCTTTTTGGAGTTGTCTGCAATGCATCCTGGCAATGGTCATCTAACTGATGTAATACACATTGGAATACCTCTTACCACCAGCTTGGCCTTTATTAACAGCTGCATCAACCCCGTTCTCTACGTGTTTATGGGGCGAGACTTCAAAACACAATTACGTAAATCTTTCCGGTTAGTGCTTGAAAAAGCTTTCATGGAGGAAAGTGTTCCAGCAAGCTTCAGGAGTAAGACCAGGTCAACCTTCGACTCTGAGCTGGTGTAAACTAGAACCACATCCACAAATGAAGATATATTGTCATTAACTGAGGAGACATTAGCTCTTTGTTTTCTTCAGGATCAATTGATTTGCTTTACTTACCAGGATTCAGTAATCTATCCTAGTAATTATTGTAATTCCAAACTAGGTATTGTTTGTTAAAGAAGGTTTCTTCAATTCACCACCAATATTAGAATGCCAGATCTGGTTAAACTCGAATGCAGCGGCGGACTGACCATTCAAGCACTCAGGCACTGCCCGAGGGACCAGGGTCAGTAGGGAGCCCCATGAGATGCCCCTGGTACCTTTCATAGGCTTTTTTGGGTGTGGCTTGAGTGTGGGCAAGGACACAGGGGTCCCCATGATCTCCTATTGCCCGGGGCCCCATGAGTTGTCAGTCCGCCCCTGCTTGAATGATAAATCATTTGTGCTCCAAAGACCTGGACACATATGTGGACATGCTGACTTTTTCTATTGTTTTTGGACCTGTCAATTTGCTCATCATTTCTGGTTTAGGGTCAATGGATCTACACTTGGACTTCCCAATATCCCACATCCCAAAAACAGCTCAATGGGCGTCTTTACTGATTTACCCGTTTCTAAACATTATTATTATTATACAGGATTTATATAGCGCCAACAGTTGTGCTCAGCGCTTTACAAAATGAAGGTAGACATTACAGTTACAATACAATTTGGTACAAGAGGAAACAGAGGGCCCGGCTTATCAGAGCTTACAATCTAGGAGGAGGGATTGAGTGATACAAAAGGTAATAGCTGTGGGGGGGATGAGCTGATGGAGGAAATAAATGGCGGTTTTACTAGGTAGAAGCAGGATAGGCTTCTTTAAAGAGAAAGGTTTTCAGGGATCGTCTAAAGGTGGATAGATTAGGAGACAGCCGGACATATTGGGGTAGGGATTTCCATAGGATGGGAGAAGCTCGGGAGAAGTTGTGGATGCGAGCATGGGAGGAGGTGGCACAGGAACTAGAGAGAAGAAGGTCTTCGGAGGATCGAAGAGAGCGGTTTGGTTGATATTTTGAGACCAGGTTGGTGATGTAGCTGGGGCAGAGTTGTGGATGACTTTGTAAGTTGTTGATAGTATTTTGAATTTTATTCATTGGGCAACTGGAAGCCAGTGGAGGGATTGGCAGAGAGGGATGGAGGACACTGATTGGAAAAAAAAAAAACAGTGAGGCCAGTGAATGGATTGGCAGAGAGGGGTGGAGGACACAGATTGGAGGCCAGTGGAGGGATTGGCAGAGAGGGGTGGAGGACACTGATTGGAGGCCAGTGGAGGGATTGGCAGAGAGGGGTGGAGGACACTGATTGGAGGCCAGTGGAGGGATTGGCAGAGAGGTATGGAGGACACTGATTGGAGGCCAGTGGAGGGATTGGCAGAGAGGGTGGGTAGCAGTCACTGTCAATGGTTAAGGTGGATGAGCCTGGCAGCAGTATTCATGACGGATAAACATGCCAAAAAGTTACTGTGAATACTTGTTGGAAGTGGTCCTCTCCCCATCCCTTGGGGCTTGGAAAGACTTACTTATAATCTTAGCAAAAAAGCTACACACCTTTGATAAAACATGGAATAGATAGGTTTCAAACCCATAAACACTTGTTTTTATAGATACAAGATCCTGATGACCTTACATAGTACATCTATTCTAATAGTATGTTACGGTATGGTATTATTTTCAGTGCCCATTATAAGCCCTTCTATGTCTATAATATATTGCTGCAAAGAGATCTGTAAGACTAGACTGTTGTAAAGTTATTACCGTGAATAGGAATCTTGACAATAAAACCCAATAAATATATATTTAAAAAATTATAATAATAATAATAATAATAAAAAAAAAAATATATATATATATATATATATATATATATATATATTTACACTGCTTGCTTAAAAAAATACATATAATTACAGATCTGTGGAAGTTTGTGTATTTTATATGTGTGTGGAGTTCAGCTTTAAATACAAGGAAATTAGCTTTAGTTACAGGAAGCATTACCAATTTTTTCAATTTTTTTCTCATTTTCACAGGTTTTATTGTCCCCTCTTCTGTCTTATAAGGAATTTTACAGTGGCGATTGCCATACAATGCCTTTAACAGAAGGTATTAAAACAATTTTATCGTGTTCTATTGTTTTCTGTTTCTCAGTGTACAATTTGTATAGAGCGATACAACATATGGCCAAAAAAGTTGAAGACGCTTCTCCAAATGACTGAGTTTCTAGTGAAGGGTACTGTTAATGCTACAGCATGCAAACCCATTGTAGACAATTGTGGAGCAGCGTTTTGAGGAAGACCCTTTTCTGTATAAGCATGTTTGTGGCCCTGTGTAGAAAGCTAGGTTGCTGGATGGATTTGGTGTGGAGGAACTCAAGTGGTCTGCATGGCGCCCTGACCTTAACCCTACTGGTCACCTTTGGGATGAATTGGAATGCTGGTTGTGTGCCAGGCCTTCTACTCCAAAATCAGTACCTGAACTTACAAAGGCTCTTTTGGTTGAACGGGCACAATTTCCCACAGACATCCTGAAAAGTCTCTTTAAAGAAAAGAGGAGGATCATATAGCTGCAAAGGGAGGTGGGGGCTCCATATTATTGACCATGGTTTTGGAATGGGTTCCATGTATAGGGAGAAAATTGTATGAAATAAGACCCTAACCAAGAAAAACTGTAGCTACAACCTCAGAACACCAAGGATGAACTGTGAATGATTGGTGACACCTAGATGAATGGTGTCACATCATAAGTAGTAATAGACATAATGGTGCATGGCTACAGCTTGGAGTCATAGAGTGATACTTGGTTGGTATAGGGACACCTAGACAGATGGTATCATATTATAGGTGTTAATAGACATGTAGATATATAGCTTCCACTTGGAGCCATGAATAAGCACTTTGTTGATAATTCCAATGCGTTTCATGGGACATCGCCCGCTTCTTCAGGGAAAACAAAACACAAATTCCAGTTGACGATTGGAATTGGTTGCCAACAAGTTTATATAGGTGTAATGGTCAGCTCTTCACAACCTTCTAATAATAAAGTATATCACACACTGAATTCCCTGACCATTTATATTTTCAGTTGCAAGGTGAGGTCAAGGTAGTCACCATTGATGGGTTCATGGCTCCTGGAAACCAGGTTATTACTAGACATGTGCATTTCATTTAGTTACAAATCAATTTTCAGGCAAAAAATTTGATTTTGGAGATCTGGATGTATCCGAATCTCCAAATGGACATAGTCCCTGATTTAACCTCCCTGGCGGTATTCCCGAGTGTAGCTCGGGTTAACTTTCAGTACCAGAAGCGGTAACCCCGAGCTACACTCGGGAATACACTGCAGCGTTGCTCTGGGATCCCTCCAGCACTAACCTTGTCCTTCGCTCCCGCGATGTCCCCCCTGCAACGTCCCCAGCCATCTCCTCCAGGCCCATGCCGGCATCCGTCTTCTGGGTTCTGTTCCCTGTGAGCGTTGGGACGTATGGGGGACGGAACTGGCAGGAAATTAAAATATGTCAATGTTTTTACAAACACATAATATACTAAAATCTGATAGTATAACATTACTATATCAAACCATTTCACATACATTTTGTCCCGAGTGCTTTGTCCGGCGCCCTGCCTGCATTTTTACTGTTCTTTCTGCCTGGAAACTGAGAAACGTCCATGGCGTCCAAAAAGCGTCCCTTTAGGTCAAAAGCGGTTTTAGACCGGCTAGAGAACAGCGATAGTAAATCAGAACCACTTGCAGAATTGAGTGATAATGATTCGTGGGGGAAATTCATCATCAGACACTGAAAACGATTCTGTGACTTTGCTCAGTGATGTGCGAACTTGGCGCTCTATTTAAAATTTCAGTGTTTTTGGTTCGATTATATTATTGAATTAAATTTATTATATTATATTATTATTTTTATGATTATTTATTATATTATAATTTATGATTTCGTGTTTCAAATTTTATCATACCCGGGATGTTTACTAGACTCTTGTTCGGACAGATTTCAGTGAGTTATTCCTAAGAATTACAGCCTACAATAAAAAAACAACATATTTCCATTGAAAACAATGTACCACTTTGAGCACAGAAATACTGACATAATCAGACCTCTAGGGAGGTTAACCTGAATGTGAAATAGAGGTTGTATACTGCCACCTTCTGTACAGTATATAATATTACAGCCTGTGCTATCAGGCATGTCCTGACAATATACAGGTTTTTCGGACATAGTTAAAATGAATACAACTATGTAGGTGTTGCGTCCATGACCATGAAAAATATTTTCTATCTAATCTGAACATTTTCCATGCAGTTCACACCACATTTACTATTTTGGGGTCACCCACAGTTGCTAAAATTTTGTAAAACTGAACTCGGGATAAGAACATTTATATTCATCATGTGTGTTCTTACTTGGATCTCGGTGTACTTTGTGTGTTTCTTCCAGGTCAGTAATCCAGTGTGAGACTTTTCCTTCCTTTTAATAAAGACCGCTCACTGCTGATCTCTCTCCTTGTGCAGGGTGGCTGATCTTGTCTCTGCCCCCCATCCTGAAGTTTTCTGCAGTTATTCTGTAGTGGGTGGAGTCTGCTGGGTCCCTCCCACAGCTCTGCTTTCAAGGCAGCCCAACGATGCTATCACTGCAATTTTTACAAAGTAATATC